TTCAATTGCTGAGTGCAGGTATTAAACCCTTTGTCTATTCTGCAAAGTTTGGCCCTTAGAAAGCAAACCGAGGCACAGAAGGTTATACTTATTTCCTAGGGACCAGTAAGAAGCCGAGCATCCTTTGTGGGGTAAAGGATTAAAAGTCCAATCCTTTATTAAAGTTATCACTTCATTTTTATATGTTAAAGAACATAACAAGCAGATATAAAAATAGCCTGACGCGTTTTGTGCTCTGCTTGGAACATGTTTACAGACATCAATAAAAAAACTAAAGCAACTGCTAACATGAATAAAGAGAAGCAAGATTATCTAAATTATGGACGAACAGACATGTAGTTGTAACCAGACAATTAATCATAGCAGCTGGTTCCTCATGTAGCAATGAGTGTTCTCACTTCAGATTTGTTTGACCTACTTTTGCTGAGCGTGCCCGTAACTAAACTTAAATTTACTGCTCACACAGAGCTGTGAGAGTCCTGTAGAGACTAAGAGACTGTGATCACTGTCTAATAATAGAGAACCCTGTTTTCCAACATTCTCCTCAGTACTATCAGGGGGGGAAAAAAACGACAAAATCCTCAGAATATAAATATTCTTTTGGTTAAGGCACAACAAAGGCACACTAAGTTCCAAAAAGACTACATATCAACGTGCTTGCTGTAGTGTCTAGTTGCTGCCCCATTTCTATTACATTGTAAAACATTACTGTTTCTGAGAAATGGTGATGTTTATATTTGTGTGAAAACACACTTCTGTAAATGACAGCCATACAGCCAGAAGAGTCACTTCCTCATTAAGGCCTTTTCTCTGCTGGATTAGTGGTAAATTAATCTGTTATTTACAGATATTGTGAGGACAAATGGGGGTCGCTCTTCACCAGTCAACCTTATAAATAACTGTATTTATTTGTAACATTGTTCATCTAAGAAAAATACATCAAATTAAATGAATTTAATTGTCCTAACTTTATCAATATGTTTAGGATGGCAGTCAATTCTTCAAAGTATTAAAGGAACACTATAGTCACCTAAATTACTTTAGCTAAATAAAGCAGTTTTAGTGTATAGATCATTCCCCTGCAATTTCACTGTCATTTAGGAGTTAAATCACTTTGTTTCTGTTTATGCAGCCCTAGCCACACCTCCCCTGGCTATGATTGACACAGCTAGTATGAAAAAAAAAACTGGTTTCACTTTCAATCAGATTTAATTTAACTTAAACAATTTTATCTTCTGCTCTGTAAATTGAACTTTAATCACATATAGGAGGCTCTTGCAGGGTCTAGTAAGCTATTAACATAGCAGGGGATACGGAAATCTAAATTAAACAGAACTTGCAATAAAGAAAGCCTAAATAGGGCTCTTTTTACAGGAAGTGTTTATGGAAGGCTGTGCAAGTCACATGCAGGGAGGTGTGACTAGGGTTCATAAACAAAGGGATTTAACTCCTAAATGGCAGAGGATTGAGCTGTGAGGCTGCAGGGGCATGTTCTATACACCAAAACTGCTTCATTAAGCTAAAGTTGTTCAGGTGACTATAGTGTCCCTTTAAGGTATACTTGCCATACATTTGCAAAGTTTGGATGCTGGGATAATATGTTTAACAGTGTTCTTTGAATCGAATACCTGCAGAAAACATGTACATTATATAGTCCCCAATATATCTCTATCTATGATATTTATCATGGGGCATTTTGACACTTTAGTTGTAGCCATTTTATAACTACCTTCAGAAAAGACTTCTAATTATAATTCATTTTTAGTTTTTCACATTGCATGTAAATGTAGCCATCGTAATGCTTATACTACTATACTAGTATATAACTATATAACTATTACTAAACACATCACACCATAACCCTGCTCTTAAAATACTATTAACACTAATTGGTCACATTAACCCTTCTAACAATATATCAAAAACCTCTACTGCTCATATCAACTCTTCTTTCAATATAGTACAAGCATTAACTTCTCGAATTAACCCATCTTCCACTAATGCTAACTACCCAGACTAATCCTTCTATTACTGACACCCTACTCTAAAAAGGCACGTGACTTGCTTCAATCTGTGGAAGGGTTAAACATCACTATGTGCCTCATACCTCAATAGTGATCAAACATCCCTCTTAACACCATGCACACCTACTCTAGGATAAAAACGGCCACCACCAAAACAATTTTACCACATGACAGGAGGCTTCATATTTGCATATCTTTCTTTACTCAAAACTCCAGCAGCATAGTAACATAAACAACCAATCAGAAAAAAGATATAATGCCTATAAAAGGCCCTGTCTATGACATCACTTCCTCTTTCTTTGCTGCTCCAGCCAACATCAGGTCAGAGTATTTTGCCTCTCTGGCAATTGCTTATATACATTGTTTTTTTTTTTTCGTTTTCACATATTTTTGGTTTTGTTTTCACTATATATTTGATTGTATTGTTTCATTTACTGTATTGTTTTAATTTACTGTTTTTTATTTACTTATTTTTCGTGGGTTTATTTTCGGGTCCCCTTATCCCTGTCCCTGCACGGTTTTAGGCCCCCCCCCCTATTACTTTCCACGGCCGATACCCGCGAGCACGGCTGTCAGTGCCGCGCGCCGCGGGCCGGTTTCCTGTTTTTCTTCGTGGGGGCCGGTAGGGGGACGGGTGGAGGGGGACTGGGAACAGTGCTGTGTGCGTTTCCCCCCTTTTTTTCGTTCCGGCGCCGCGCGGTCGATCGCGGCGCACCTTCACACGCGGGCGGCGGCCATCTTGGATCTCGCGGCTCGCGAGATACCGGACGGCCGCCTTCCCCGCTTGCCCGGCGGATCGGTAACTCACCCGACCGCCGGGCTCCACATCTGTATACCCTCCCTAGTGTGTACTAGCGAGGGTATTAGTGTAGCAGGTGATATTTTTGCCCAGTGCCTGCCTGCTGTGCTGCCCATTTACAATATATGAATTAAAAGAGACAAGCACCCCCTTTTTGTTGCCAGCTCAAGACCTCTATGTCTCTATACCCTGCTTAGGGTCATACCAGTTAATATACCCCAATTAGGGTTGAACCCCGATCATATGCACGGAGGCCTACGCCACACTGCCTGTCAGTTTTACATTAAAGCAACAGTACCATGCCGGATGCGTTTTGACGGCAGGATCACTAAGAAAACTGAGTGTATTGCGGTGTACCCTTCACAGGGATACATATATGTATATTTACTGTGCCTAGTGTACATATTAAACGTGGGTGTCCTCTGGGTAACTTTCCATGGCACACCACCTGGGAGGACCCCCAGATATGCATGCAATGCTTGTAAGGTGCCAATAATTATAATATGGGTGTCCTCTGGGTTACCATGGCACACCACCTGGGATGAACCCAGCCTAATAGACATGGGTCCTGCGGCTGCAGACCTTATGGAGACAGGCCCCATGCGCCTATATACAAAGCCTGTATAGTTAAAAACCGTGCATACAGCTCTGGCGTACATTTGTGGTGAACCCGGCTAGCCAGACCGACACCACTACCAGTCACCGCCTGCACCACGACTCTCAGTAGCCAGATTAAACTAATAGAGGTGACCCCTCTACACTTGGCACGAGTATTCATACTCTCAGACATACTAAAGCAGGCAATTCAAACTGTTTTTACCTGGGTGATCCCCAGTTCTACCAGGAGTCTAACACCCCTATGTGCTGACCCTCACACTATCTCACAACAGGACGGGAACGAGTCATGGTGGACACTCTCAACGTTCCCAAGATTTCTAGGCAACGATACACGCCACAGTAACGGCCTCAGTGGAGAAGGTTCTGTTATGAACTCTACCCCACACCGCTTGATGGAGACCTCAGGCCCACAAGCCTTCAAGTCAAAACGGCAAGGGAAGGGCTCCAGCCCCCCTGCCACTAAGGTCAAGGGCAAGACGCCCATCGAACAGACCAAATAGGCGGAGCACCGGGAATCCAAACCCCGTCCGCCACAATCTTCCGACCAAGAAGACTATTACCCACCACGTACTTTGGACATGGTAGATGAGCGACACGAAGACAGCCCACCGTCTGAGGAAATGGAACGGCAAGACCTTCCCCACACTTCCTCGAAGTACGTTAGGGAAACCTTACTCTGGGACGGCGGCTGAGGCAGAGATAACTGTAACGGCACTAAACCAGAGTAGCCGAAGACGGAACGTTCCTGGACGAACACTATTGGCTGCGCAACCCTCGGGGGATGGAAGGATGCGCACGCCTCAAGACCGAGTTACCCCAGGGTACACAACTCAACCCTACCACCTCCAAAGAACGGTCTTAATGCTCGATATGCCTCCTGGGCAACGTAAATGACGCACTATGCGCCGACAGACGCAAATCTGTACTTGGCCGCATCGACAACACACTATTGGACTTAGGAACGACAAGAATTCGGCCCAAAAGCACAAGGCCTACTATTCGACGTAGTGTTCATTGCAGTATTCAAGAAACACGTGAATTTATTCACCACACTAAATTAAACCCAGACCTCGCTAAAACAAGTCTTCCACAACCCTACGGGGAAAGGTGTTTCTGGGAGGACTGGTCGGTAACTGAACCGAGCCACCAGCCGCTTCTGGGCGACAGGTTCCAGATCGTATACACGGTCCTCATATTTCTCCCATCTACTACACAAAGGAACCCATCCGCTTCATCTACTAGTGTGTCAACCTACATAACTAACTGTTTCCAATATTATGACCGGCAACCTGTCTCTGTTTTACAGAATTGGGAGACGACTACCAAAGTCACCTGGGTTCTCCAGACAGTACAAGGCTATGTCATAGAGTTTTATCACAGCCGTGCAGGTCGCCCCTTCACCTCCATTACGCACGCTGGCGGAACAGGAACGCCTCGTGGACAAGAAAATCTGCACCCTCTTCAGGAGGGGCGCAATTCAACATGCACCGGAGGGGAAGGCTTCCCCAGCAAATTTTTCCTGGTCAAGAAGAAGCCAGGAGACTACATCAATGGAACTCCTACATGGTATACAAATGCTGCAAGATGGAGGAAATTCGTCTTCTACAAGACCTCCTAGGCGATAACGACTGGTTTACACATCTGGACCTCAAGGACGCACGCTTGTCAGTACCCGTTGCCCTGGACTGCCGAAGTTTGCCTCCGATTCCAATGGTGAGGACAAACACGGCAGTTTACGACTCCGTGGTGCTCGCGAACCTACTGTAACCAGTGAGGGCACACATCCGTAAATTTGGGCGTGCGATGCCTCGTATACCTGGAAGACTTGCTGATTCTTTACGAATCCAGGCTACGTTTGCAGACAAATTTTGTCGTTCACTTTCGGGACTCCATGGGTTTTTTTGTTGTACACAGACAAAGATCGCTTCTCCATATGAATCGGGCCAGTTCCTCGGTTTCGACATCGGCTTGGAGAACTAAGTTCCGCGTCCGTCTACGGCAAAGAGCGCCTCTATAAGGATAGCTGTCGGATTGTGAGATTCCTCTCCCCCTCCATACAAGCGTTATTCCCTGGCCCACTACGACTGATGGTGAGATACGTACGCACCGGTCACTCATACGACCACTGGATCCCACTGTCAGCGGAAGTGAGGATGGAATTTCGATGGTGATTACTTCACATACAAACTTGGATTGGCAAAACGATCTTTGACTCTTCCTTCGGATACGGGGCGATGGATGAACCCCTGCAAACGCGACCCAGCCGTTCTCCACAATAGCAAGGGTGCTTCGATACACACACACACACCCACAAGATATCGCTCCTGCTCATGATACCCCTCGGGCAGGGCCAACCGTGATTTCCCGGATCGCCTGGAGATGTCTCGCGGAGACCCTCTACTACTCCCTACCTTCCCTCTACTTCTGACGGGACCTCGAGGGGAAGCCCACTCCCTTGTCATGGAAGGACAACTGGCACTAGTTGCCTGGACGGCTTCAGGGGCTCCTGGTCAGTTCACGACCTATTGCATCAACTAAGACCTCCTATGGGACTCATAGGCTCCCGGCACCAGGAAAGGCTATATTTCTGCCTGGTCGGCCTGGAGTGATTGGTGTGTGGAAAGGGATTCCGATCCCTTTACCGCACCTGTCCCACTGACCCTCAACTATCCGTCACACCTGGTCTCGTTGGGTCGGTCATATCGATCCCTCAACGTGATCAGATCCGCCGATATACGCAGATATCGGCAGCGCACGTTCCTGTACAGAGCAGACCAGTAGGTCAAGATACACTGGTTTGTCGACTACTGTGGGGTGTCGAATTGTCGAGATCCCTGCACCCAAATATTCACGCCTCTGGCAGGTGGATGTGGTGCTGAGATTCCTTAGGGAATGGCCGGACAATCCTTGTTTGTCACTGAAGCAACTTTCAGCCAAACTAGCCCTCTTATTATGCCTCGCCTCATTTAGACGGTGGCGGACGTTAGGGCTTGCGATATGGATGGTTTCTCTCTCACACCAGACGGGGTTACCTTTACCATGTCGAGATGAACTAAGTCTGTTTCGTCTTCAGAGTCATACCCATGCTTTGTGTCAGACGCCTCACTATGCGTGGTCAGAACGCTAATGGGGTACACCAATATCTCTACCCCCTTCAAACTCATTCGACGGATCACCTTCTGACTTCTTACGTGAACCCTCATGGACCGGTGTCTACCGCAACACTGGCCAGATGGGTCCGCTGGTTTTTGTCTTTAGCGTCGAACCTTGTTTCGGAGCCCACTCGGTCAGGGGAGCGGCGGCCTCACAAACCTTTTCGGCCGACGCTTCCCTAGCCGACATTATACGCTGCGCGGACTGAGCGCGAGAGAGTACGTTTAGAACGTTCTATTTTCGGCAAACATCTCATGCTTCCTTCACATTGGTCAATTCAAAGCTTTAAAAATGCAAATATGAAGCCTCCTGTCATGTGGTAAAATTGAAGATTATATTAGCTTTAGTGTACTAATAATCTTAATTTTAGTAATGACAGGAGGCGAATATTTCCCACCCTATAGAATCCCTCCCATGTTTCTCGTGTTGAACAGAATATGTCCTTTATGTTCAGGAAGGTAAGTACGTATGGTTTGTATGTTTGCTACTTAGACCTGTATCTTGTGGGTCTTGTATTGGCTGAATACTAGACATGAACCTTGCATTATGTTGTGTTTATATATTCTTAAATATCATTGCGTTAGAATAAATATATATTGATATGTTTCACACTCTAATGTTCGTTGGTATATCAGATGCTTAATGCTTATTGTATGCGAACAAGTTATCACGCCAGATACCTTTTTCTTTTTCTTGCAGCGTGAACGTCTTCTCATCGAGACAAAGATTCACCTTCCATACCTCTGCATCGTGGAACTAATGGAGTTGGATATTCTAATATGTTGTTGAACTGTTGACGTAATATGATTATGTCTCTTGTTGTTATTTATTGTTTCGCTTCAAAGAAAGAGGAAGTGATGTCATAGACAGGGCCTTTTATGGGCATTATATCTTTTTTCTGATTGGTTGTTTATGTTACTATGCTGCTGGAGTTTTGAGTAAAGAAAGATATGCAAATATTCGCCTCCTGTCATTACTAAAATTAAGATTATTAGTACACTAAAGCTAATATAATCTTCAATTTATATCCAGGATTTAGGTTACCACAACCATATTAGATTAAAAACCCACAAAACTTAATTTAGACAAAAATATATATGAAACCACAAAACTGTCATCTAAGACACTTTGGTCAAATTATTCTTCTACTAGACAATGGCAGAACTTAATAAAATAACATTTATTATAAACAGGAAATAGTCACAGTGCATACAAATACAAAAAATGTTACAAACAAAATTTACATACACCAACAAACTGATAAAAAAAAAGAGGACATTAACAGAAAACCCTACTACTCACTGCACTAGCAAAATACCATTATTGCTTTTCCAAAAAAGCTTTTAGGAAGGAAAAGGAAAATCCGATACAAATTCAATTTGGTTCTCAAAATGGAATATAAAGTCTTTAGGTTTTATCAGATATCATATACACTTTTCTGGTCACCTCAGGTTTTAGGCTGGCCTTTCCGTGGAGGGGCTGGGGGAAATGGCTTGGCTGAAAATATATTGATGAACAGGTGTTTCCAATCTCATTGTAATATTTAGAGATCATATCTGTGAATCCAGTTAGTTAATTTTAGGCCAACCATGGTCAGAGTTGAGCAAACCAGAACTGTAAAGTTTGGGTTCGGACCGAACATTGCAATTTTTTGACCCCGAACAGTAACAGTTCTGGTTCGAGTTCGGTGTTCGGCGATTTAATGGCGCGTTTTGAAAAGCTGCAGGGCAGCCAATCAACAAGCGTTTGACTCGTGTGCCCTTAGAAGCCATCACAGTCATGCCTACTAATGGCATGGCTGTGATTGGCCAGTGCAGCATGTGACCCAACCCTCTACAAAAACTAATAGGGGCATGTCTATTAAACAGTGGAAACCTGAGCGGCGGATGGGGGCCCTAAATTAGAATAAAGGGGGAGACCTAATGTCCTCCCCCTGCCCCCCACCCCCGAGCAGTGGGTGGAGGCCCTAAATAAAAATTGGGGGGGGGGGGGACCTAATGTCCTCCTCCCTGGCCCCCACCCCTGAGTGGTGGGTGGGGGCCCTAAATTAGAATAAAGTCCTAATAATAGAATAATGTCCTAATGTCTGGGGGGGATAAGGACATTAGGTCCCCCCCTTTATTCTGGGGGACCCCTGAGTGGTGGGTGGGGGCCCTAAATAAAAATGGGGGGGGGACCTAATGTCCTCCACTCTGGCCCCCACCCCTGAGCGGTGGGTGGGGGCCCTAAATACCAATGGGGGGACCTATTGTCCTAAAATAAATACAAATTTAACCCCCCCAGGGTTACCCCCTCCCCCCAAAAAATTAACCCCTACCTACCCCCTCACCCTAAAAATAGGGGTGAGTCTCTTCATTTACCTGTCAGAGCACTCTGATTGGATGGCTTAAACCCACCAATCATAGTGCTCTGAGCCTAATTGCAGGGTGGGGCAATGCTTTATAAGCCTTCCCCCGCCCTGCAGAGCTCAGTCTGCACAGACCCCTCCATAGGTGAAGATGGGTTTTTATTTGTTTGGTTTTTTTTTTAAGTGCGTCGGTTATTATGGATTTTTATTTGGCCTTTTTTGGGGCTGAAAAAAGATTTTAGAAGAAAGAAAACATCAAATGGTAAGTTTTATTTTACAGGTACTTAGTTAAAGGTCCCCCCCTCATTATTTTTAGGGTAAGGGGGGCAGGTAGGGGTTAGATAGGTCCCCCCCTTATTTGAATGTAGGGAGCGATGGGTGGGGGCAGGGGGGAGGACAATAGTTTCCCCCCCCTTTATTTTACTTTAGGGCCCCCACCGCCGTTCACCTGTGGGGGCTCAGGAGGGGGAACCTTTTTTATTTTTTTATTTTTTTTTAACAGTGAGCAGACATAGGCTGCTCACTGTTTAATAGGCATGCCCCTACTCGCAGTATAGCGAGTAGGGGCATAAGTTACTAATACTAAGTAATCTTTACTTCGTATTAGTAAATTTGGCTGAAATAAAAATTCAGGTCTTTCAGCCTTTTAGTAGATAGCTCCCTAATACCGTGGGAATTAGGGAGTTATCTACTTATTCATTCCTGCCATTACACTGACTGGCTAAGTAATTTACATTTTATATGAATGTGTGTTACTTGATTGTTGTAAGTGTTGCAAATGCTCACAGCTGAATCCTGGCTATGTTTGTATACTTTTTATTTAAAATTGTATACAGTGTAACATTCTTCGTCTTCCACTGGGTAAGGATATTGATACTTAGGCAATACATTTTACTTCCTTTTGCAGCCCTCTAGCCCTTTCCAAGACTTTTTTAGAGCCATTTTAGTGTCCAAAAGTTCAGGTCCCCATTGACTTCAATGGGGTTCATATTCGGGGTCAAGTTCGAGTCCCGAACTCAGTTCGGCTGAACCTGGCGAACCCGAACATCCAAGACAAAAATGACATCTACAATCACTTCCAAACTTTAAGTGAGTGACCCTTACTTGAACTTACATTACACACTGTAAGCATTGTGTTGTCTCTCAACTTTCTCTGACAGGCTATCTGATAAATATCACTGATCCTCAAAACCAGAGACCAGTCACAAATTCCTCTACACTATTTGGTTTACCAAAAAAACTGCTATGTTTACAGCTGCAGGGTTAACACTAGATAGACCTGGAACCCAGACCACTTCATTAAGCTGAAGTGGTCTGTGTGCTTATAGTGGTCCTTTAACTAATATTTTTGCCATGACAGTGACTCATGCCCACTGGTATTGACACTTTCTACCAATATACCATTAGCCCTAACTGCTCATAATAACTCTTCCAAAAATGCCACTTCTTCTCAATGTTTGCACTATTTCCTGAGTATAGAACTAATAATTACTGTTCGCACTAACCATTCTCCCTTTAAAGCTCTGACTCCTTACACTACTCCATCATTCAATATACCACTAACTGCTCACACTAACCCTTCTTCTAACACTAACTGCTCACACTAACCCTTCTTCCAATATACCACTGACACTGACTGCTCACACTATCCCTTCTTCCAATATACCACTGACACTGACTGCTCACACTATCCCTTCTTCCAATATACCACTAACACTAACTGCTCACAC